ACACAGTTGATATGATCGACTTCACCTTTCTTCATATAATCTAGAATAGCTTGCAGCCACTTCGTGGCCTTAGCCATTCTGACAATTATTATTTGTGTACATTTACTAGTACTCACACACTCTGTCTGTATGTCAACCAGAAACTGCAACAGTAACTATCAATCATGCAATATACATTGGAACAAGTCAGGACAATATGTCATGTATATGCTTTTATGCTCTACATTCTCCTTATGGGTTTCCTTTGTCAGGTTAATTAGTTTAATGGCCAAACAAAAGGAAGATGCCATACATTATTTTAATATTTTCCTCCTTACTGTTTTTGTTCACACACATACATGCTCTCTCCTTTCTTAGATATATGTATCATCAGATCCTATAGATTTTCTAAAGGAATATAAATATAGTTTGATGTACGGATGCATTAATCATCACTTCAACTTATTGATACTATTGGACATTACACTATCTCCTCCTCAACCTGAAGCTACTCTTAATACAACTAATGTACCTAAAGGAGGAATGATGATGAAAGTTATATCAATTAATGAAGAAGATAAAAGAAGTAATTATAATGATTAAGATTATTAAATATTATGTTATTTAATACAGAGATACAAGTACAAGTTGATAAAAGAATAACATTAGCTCGATTGAAGATGGAGCTAGTTCCACTGATTGGTATACCACCTGCTGGTTTTAGAGTGTATGAAATCAGAAATGATGAAGAATATGAAATGGAGAGACTGAATGAGAGATTAATGGATATCATATCTGAACCAAAAGTATTTTGATTCACTTTTTCTTTCTATTATACATTGTATGAACTAAAAATACTTCTTTTATCTCCTATAGTTGATAGTAAGACTGCCCCAACTGGATAGAGCCAGAATTAAATTATATTTATTACAAGTTAACAATACAGACGTAAGAATGTTATTTTTTATAATTTTATATTTTATTTTATGTTTTAGCTTTCTAAGTATATGATGGAGTCTATTGTTGCTAAGGATACACTAGTGAGAGAATTTAAGAAACAAATTATTGAAGAAGCAAAAGCACGAAGAATTGACTGTGTCCTTGAATTAGACAAGTAAGTACATCATGTGACTATCATGTGACTATCATGTGACTCATTGTGTAGAATGAGATTACGTGACAAGTTATTAGTGTACCCTGGTAGTGTATATCTTGATTATCAGGTGATTGATACTAGTATGGAAACATATTATGTGGAACCATTGAAAGGTCATAATCTCAATATTTTCATTTTAAACTGTATAGCAGGATTTATTTTTGGTGAAATTGACTAAATTGGTGACTTGTAGATTAAATTTTGGTGACTTCATTGTCTCTTACTAATAATTGGCAATTTTAATTTGGCGTTTTCCTGAAATTTGCCAACTCACCAAATTTAATCTCTTACCAATAAAACTGTACTTCACTTGATTATAGTAAGGTTATTGTATTAATTTTCATTAGGGCCAGAGAAGAAGAAGCATAAAGGACAGATACAGGTGTATGTTATAAGATGGCGTCCATCACAATGTTCAGTTGATCCAATAGAAGAAATTATACTGGATAATAATGATCCTAAGCATGCTATTGAAAAGGTAATCATAATTTTATTATTGCACTGCATGAGATAGTACTTGTTCAAACAAGTAGTTGCAATGCTCTAAGATTAAAACTGCCTGTGTATACTGTATTCATCTGTGATAAGTATACCATATAGCTAAAAAATTTGGTGGAATAAAAATTTGACAGAATGAAAATTTGGCAAAATTGGTAAATGGATGTTAATTTACCAAAATTTTAGTCTCCAATTTGATAGAGTTCCATAGAAGCAAGCACAGAGGTAAATTTTGCCCAAATTTTAACCTCCAAAACTCTTTTAGAGTCAATTTGCCAAATTTTAACACTCCAAATTTTTCAGCTATACGGTAGTTGGCAAATTTTGGATTTTATGTCAAATGGCAGATTTGATAATGGTAAAAATTGTCAATCACCAATACAAGTCTATAGGTTTATATTAACATTAATGTACAGTAAGCCTATGAATAAATACCAGGAGCCCATACATGTAGGTATACGTATGTACCGTGTATATTACCATATAGTTTAAAATTTTCGTGGGTTGATATTTTCGGGGTTTGCTCCTAGTGGGGCAATTTGTGGTTTAATTTTCGTGGTTGACAGTTTACATAGCCTGTAGGGGATGGCATGATTTTGTGGGTTTAAATTTCGTGGGCAGCCCATAACCATGAAAACCACGAAATTTACATTCCACGAAAATTTCAAGCTATATGGTATTATTATTATTTTTTTACAGTTGTCAGAGTTAAGCGGAGTACCTACTGAGTATATCTATTGTGCAAAGGTTAGTCATTGATACAAAACATAATAATAATAATAATGCTCCCTCTCTTTAACTCTTAGTATGGATTATCATTATTTCCAGTTGAGATGTCATGTCTTGATATTGAGAATAAGTTGATATGGTATTCCATCACTTCAGACAGGTCCTCATTAGCACTATATGATGATGGACGTGTCATATATTACAAGTACTAATGAACACACACACTTACATGCACCTCTTACTGTTTATACTTATTTAGAGACAATAGAGAGAGAATGAAAGAGTTAACAGATAAAGAGAGATCAGAAATACAAGAGGCAGAGGAAGCAAGGTACTATCAATTAATGGTCCAAAATAAATGCATCAGTATTATTTTGTTACATTTTCATTGTGAGCTTTTAAAAATTAACTACAAATAAGATGATAGTTCATTTATTGTATTACTGTAGGTTGAAGAAAATTAGGGAATGCAGATATCAACATTGACATTAGTTGGATTGTTTTTAAAGTTTTACATCAATTTTTATTTTAAAATTAATGGTACTTTTAAAATAATTTTCCATGTGCAATTTAATCTTGTGTAGTTTGTTTAAAGTCTCCAATTTATTTGTTTTATTATTATTATTTATTATTGCGAATTTTACAATGCACTATAGAGTTTAAACTTAGACCAGCTGTGTTTTTCTGGTCACCAGGTGTTTTGTCTTAAAGCATAAATTCAACAGCTAGAGGCAGACTGAGGAATATTGAGTTCATAACAGTCAGAAGATTCTCTGTTGATCAATTGACAGTGACTAGAGAGAGGGGTGGCTACATGAGAAACAGGATCCTCACAAGAGTCTGATCTGCAGCTGCTTGACCAGTAATAACATCCATCAAAGGCCACTTATTGCATTATAGTACCGTGGCATTCAGACAAAATAGTTTAATCATTTTTTGCACATTAAGTTAAAAAATGAATGGAGTATGATATCTACACATAAACAAAGTTACACTTCTTCCATATCAGTAATATCCTCCTCTTCCCCCTCTCCTTCACTGCTTGATGATGATGAATATTGTAAATCATGACTCAATATGTCCATACCACCACCAGTGACTGGTAACAAACTACTGGCTATCAATCCTTCTCCTTTCCTCCCTTTCTCTATATCCTCTTCATCTGTGCCTTCAACATCTATAGTCCCAATCTATACAGTCATTGGACAATCAACAACTATCATACTGTACACCAGGAAATTTTGGAGAACTAAAATTTTAATTGTTGTGAACTCAGTGCTAAACTTTGATGATTGGTGAATTTTAATTTGGAAAATTTGTGGCTATGTGCCATTGAACATGCACATAATGGCTCAAAATGGTGGATTCTTATTTTGGCAACTGGTTATGGAAACGCCAAATTTGCCAATTTTAACTCCCTCCAAAATTTCCTGCTTTACTCAATAATCTGTTTGTTTCCATACCTGAATACTGTCTTCACTAGTAATGATGACACTGGATTGTCCAGTAATATTCATGTTAGTACTAGTATCTTCTTCCTCTGCCTCCTCATCTCCACTCTCTCCTCCTAGTCCTTCTGGTTCATTTA